ATTTTAAAATGTCACTGTTCTTCAGGGCTCTATATTTGGCCTTTTTCTCACTCTGCCTTGGGCAATTTTATCTGTTTTCATTGCATAAATTGCTACCTTTATAAGGACTCTGTCTCAAGCACAGCTTTTACTCTTGAGTTTCACGCTCATAGTGCCAACTGTGCCCCTCTACTTGGACATTCCACAGGCACTTCAGACTGAATTTATCCTACCCATATTTCCCATAAATGTTTTTTTCTTCTCTCTCCCCTATTTTGGTGAATGAAATTCTGTCTCCTCATATATTACTCTGTATTTCTACTGCTAAATCTAAGCATCTATAAACCTAAAACATTACCTTCATGAGCTCTTCCCCTTACAATGGTTCTGTTTCCAGCTGGATCAAACAAAAATTCTCAATTTACGATCCAAGATCTACTAACTACCACTCATCCCCCTTCCCAATCTCAACTATTTAATTATCTCTGCATGAGGGCTTTCTAATTTTAGCAAATTACCCCTTGTCAAATATTACTTTGGACAAATCACTAATCTCACTAAGTTTTGCTTTTCTTTCTTCTCTTTCTTTCCTTTTAAAAGATTTGTTTATTTTTTATTCTATATGCATTGGTGTTTTACCTGCATGTATGTCTGTGCGAGGGTGTCTGATTACCTGGAACTTGAGATACAGACAGTTGTGAGCTGCCATGTGGGTGCTGGGAATTGAACCTAGGTCCTCTGGAAGAGCAACCAGTGCCTTTAACTGCTGAGCCATCTCTTCACACCCAAATTTTGCTTTCTTTAACAGTAATAAATGAGATTTGAGCTCCACATTTCGTCAGTTACTTCTTTCTGCCAACCTTAGCAGCTGGCACAACCATCTACTTGTTTTGGTTATGTTTAATTAATTTTTGAGATGTTGCCCAGTCTAGTCTTAGGTAGCTTGGAACTATAGGCAATATACCCAACTCTTCTTCTTTTCTCTCTCTCTCTCTCTCTCTGTCTACTTTATTTTATATGTATGGGTGCTGTTCCTGCATGAATATCTTTGCTCTCAGAAAGGTCAAAAGAGGGGATGAGTTGAACCCCATGGAAATGGAGCTACTGAAGGTTATGAGGCACCATGTAGGTGCAGGGAATTGAACCCCAGTTAGCCACAAATTTTCTTAAGTACTGAGCCATCTCTCTGGCATCACACACATTCTTGATTCTTTTCCTATTCTTTCCTTCCAAGTGCTGTTGCTCTTTCCTCTAAACCACACCCTTTTCTCATCTTTACTACCTCCAATCTAACCAAGCTACTATCTTTTCTGTCTATAATTCTCAGTCTCCTAACTTGTCTTCTGATTTTTATGCTTCAGTTCATTCTCTGCATAGTGACCACAGTAAGGTTTTTTTTTTTTTTTTTCATGTATGCCAGATGTAGTTTAGTGGTAGGATCCTTATCTCACATGTACAAGGTTCTGATTCAATCCTCAACATGGCAAAAACCAGATCTAGCCTTCCATTTTTTGTCTGTTACTATCTTATCTCCTATCACCACACTCCTTGCTCATTTTGCTCAAACCACACTGGCCTCTTCTCAATTCTAATCCTGATGGCCAGACTATCACAACTGCTGTATCTTTTGCCCAGAATGTTCTTTCCTGACATATTTTATTCCCTCCAATATCTTCATAAAAGTAATTATTTTAAAATAGCATTTTATTTATTGGCAATTGCATGCATATGTTCACTATCTCTTGACCATATCCACCCCCAACTTCTACTACTCTCTCCATCCTACCACAATCCCCTTCCAAAGGCTGGTATTATATGGGCATTTAACTCCTTTTTTAAGGCTACAAAGTTCTCTAATTCTTGACCTGTGGCATTATAGCTATCTAATCTATAGGGCACCAGGCTGAGCAGCTCTAATTGACAGAGGTTTGTTCTCCTCAGGTATTTAATGGACAGTTTCCTGCACTGTGTTCTACTATCCCTCTCTTGGCCTTAATTCTAGTTAGTTTGGTTAAAGTTTTGGGCTATATAACACAGCATATCATCACATGATATAACTGCTTTAAAGAGTAAAGTCTTTAGTACAACAAGAACTTTTATTAACCTGGTAATCAAAACAAGAAAAATTACAATAGTCAAAAGTCCAAGAATAAGGCTGCTTTTGTCTAGGTAGCTCTGTCAGGATTTTTGTTTTGTTTTGTTTTGGTTTTTCCAGAGAGGGTTTCTCTTGTAGTCCTGGCTATCCTTGAACTTGCTCTGTAGACCAGGCTGGCCTCGAACTCACAAAGATCTGCTTGCCTATGCCCCCCAAGTGCTGGGATTAACGGCATGCACTACCAATGCCTGGTTTGTTCTATCAGTTTTTTTTTAAGTTAAATCTAGTTTTAATTCTTAATTTAATACAAAATCCCAATACAATGAAATGACAAAAATAAATGAGCCAGATATAAGAAATATGATTAATTTCCACAGCAGACTCTGTCTCAGCCAACTCCACACACAAAGCAACTGGGTAAAGGCACTATCCTGGGACCAAGAGGTTACCTTACAGGTGCCAGCTGCCAAACCAAAAATGTTAATACCAAACCGTAAACATTACAGAAACAGTGTAATACAAGGTAGATAATTCAGAAAAGTCGGCAGCATAAATTAAAACATGGGATACTTGTATGATGAAAAGTAATCCAGCGTTTTAACACTGGTCAAACTCAAGTCAATAAAAGCTGAATCTGCACCCTCCCCTCCCATGCCTTCTTTTTGTCCCCTTTCTATTGGGGTTGTTTGACAAACTACCTCAAGCAAAAACTACAGTTAATTTTACCCTCCAAATTTCACACCATGGGAGAAATTGGAATCAGCATGCTCTATCTTGTCTGTAAATGAGTTGATAAAAATGTGTTTCTAAAATCCTTTCTGAGATTGCACTCAGGCTGCAATACCAGTTCCAAGGATGCTGTTTCACCCCGGCACTGGCAACGCTCCCTGCCCCCCTTCAGTCAGCCTTGGTTTCTGAGATGTGTTCTGGTTTCTCCCTTCAATAACTTGCACATTAAAGGTGTGAGAACAGTGGGAGAGGGCGGTTAACTATGAAAATGGGGTACAGAGAGTGTGAAGCATGGTTCAGCGTTTCACAGTCAACTGCTGTGTGTCGTGCCCATGGCTACACCCTGAAAGCCGCCTCTTTGTAGCCTTCAGCTATGCTCTATGCTGTCCACTCCCGATGGCTCAGCTGTGACAAAGGGAGTCAGGACAGAATTACCCTTACATAGTTCTAAGTCATACAAGGAGTCTCAGGAAGAAGGATGTTGTGATTCTCATCAGGGAACTCCTTAGCCACCCAGGGAAACCAAACCTCTATACCTTAAATCCAGCATTTTAAACAGCCACATTTTAATTCTTTTCATACTTCCCACCTTATTGAATAGGATTACTTTGGTCTGAAGGAGAGAAGATTCAGACCGAGTTTGTCAAATGAACCATGAATTCTTTAAAGTGAAAGAAGGAAAAAAAAAGAATTATTATCTCTTTGATAGAAATACATGTTAATTACTCATTAGATCAACTATACCCAGGCTCAAGCTGGGAAACAGCTTTTAAAAAACAGAGTAAGATAACTAGAGTATCTCTTTCCCTTCACAAGAGTATCTAATGGAAAGAGGGGGAAATCTTTGATACTGATGAATCATTAGAACTATTAAAAAAAAAAAAAAAAGCAGAATCACTAGCCTTCATTGCCATACTGGGGCCAGCCAGGGCCAACAACCACTTTCAAAATTAAGTATCTCAGAAGCTCAATATATAAGAATACTAGAAAGATTATCTAGAGCATTTATTTCTGCAAAAGACAATGTTTCACAATTTCTCTGCAGAAGCTATAGATAAAAGAAAATAATCAAAGCTGCGAGTGGTGATGCATGCCTACATTATCTTAGCAACCATGAGGCTGAGGCAGGAGAATCCAGAATTAGAGGCCAGCTCGAGCTGTGTACTGAGGACCAAGCCAGCCTAGGTTATATATAGCAAACCCCTGATGTCTCATAAAAAAAAAAAAAGTACCAGCAAACTCCAGATGAAACTACAGAGTTAGATATAAATTTGTGAAAAAGGGATGAGAATTAAATATGGGTCATATCCCTCAGCCATTCACCCTTATTCAATAGATGGAGGACAATATGGTTTTGGATTCTGGCCCACATCCTGGACTTCTACTTAATACCAAGAACAGTCCTGCCAGAAATAAAAAAGGCTGCACCAACTCCAGCTCCAACTATATACATGCATTATTAGCTGGTCTGTGAGATAGAGTAATCAGAGCTTCATCCCACCACTCACGCTTTAGAGGGAGGGCTAAAGAAGAGGGCAAGATCAGAGTGATGACATGTTTAGGTTCTGGAAATATTCAAGCTCAACCCCTTTCCCCCTGCCCGCCCCACCCTTATTCAGGGTAGAAAATCAAAGGTAGATTAAGGCCAAAACTAAACTAAAAAGATTTGGGGCGACAGGGACAGGGGCGCAGTAGAAACAACCAAAGTCATCTAGATTCAGCAACTGTCACTAAACCTCGCTTTCCACTGTTTTCTCAATCACCCACTACGAGTCACCTCTGTCTGGGACACGGGACTGGCCACGCAGCCTGCGAGGAGGCAGCAGGAACTGAGACTTGGCTGCGCGGTCCCAGCCTCGGGAGCCAAATTTCAGATCCGAATAAGCGGGAGGAAAGGAAATCTGAGGACAACAGGGCAGGGCAGGGTCTCTTTTCTTCTTCCTTGCACTGGGGAGGAGAAGGCCAGGCTCTCGGGAGAGGGCTGCAACGAGAGCAAACCGGCGGGCGGGCGAGGAAAGCTGCGCCCCCCACCCCCGGGATGAGAGATAGGGAGGGTCTTTGCCGAGCGCCCGCCAGGGAGCGGACAGCGACAGGCCTGGCCGGTGACTCAGTGAAAGCGGCTGCGAGGGCTCCGGAGATAGCGGCGGTCGGCCGGAGGGAGGCCGGAGGCCAGCGTGGCCGGGGGTGGGGAGCTCACCGTGTCCTTGGAAGAGCCCAGCTTTTTGAGGCCGTCAAGGGGCAGCAGGTCGGCGGAGTCTTTGTGGATGAACTGCACCGCCTGCTTCATCCGGCGCTGCTGCCGCAGGGACGCCGCTTCCCGCATGTCGTTCTCCTTGCGGCCACCCTCGGTGAGGAGTCCTGAGTAAAACATCGCTGAGGCGCCCGCGGCCCGGCGGCCGGGTCTCCCGCCCCGAGCACCCTCAGCCTCGAGCTCCTTGACAGCTCCGCGGGAGCCTCGCTCCCGCGCCTTTTATAGCCGAGCATGACGTCACGGGGAGCGGCCAGTGCGCGAGGGAGAGGGCGTGGCCAGCAAAGCGCCCCGCCCTCTGGTGCACCGTCCTTGGGGGTGGGGGGAGGCGTGGTGTCTAGCGTCAATCATCTACTTCCACTCCATCATCATCCACCCTGAGGAAAAGCCAGCCAGGAACAGCCCGCAGTGGACCGACTGACCCCGGGGCGCTGAGGGTCCAGCGGAGCCGCTTGGCACAATTGTCCCCTCTCCTGCGTGGGTTGCCCTGCATGCCCTGCATGGGATGGGCAGTAGGGCCCTGTACTCTAGCAGCCTCTCCCACCCCAGCCGCCGCCCACAGACTCTCAGCTCACCTGACCATGCTGAGGCTGATCCAGGGATCACTGACAACTGAGCCATGTTCAGCTTCTCAGAGTCGTGCCTTTGTGCTCCGAAGTTGGGAGAGCTCCGGATTCCTCCAACTTCAGGTCGGTCCCCAGGGCCACGTGACGAGGAGGGGGCAGGAGGATGGGCTTGATGGGGCCTTCCGAAGACCCTCGGCCCCCTGGCACCCTCTGTTCCGGAGCCTAGCACCAGAGGTGGGCAGTCAGGTCTAGTCTGAAAGCTCCATCTGCCCGGGAGTACACCTGCTCTTAAGAACACCAAAAAGCACCTGTTTTTCTCTGCAAGCGCTAGATTTTACCTTTGGGGATGGAAGTGGAATGCATCCTTGTGGGAAAATTGAAAGCTGTTTTTCTTTGAGACTCATTCATACTTTCTAGCCATTCTAAAAGGAGTGTTCTGTTTCATCTGGGTTGGAGTTGACATATGACTTAATACAAATCACATTTCTACGTTTGGGAATCACATCTCTCTTTACTGCACAGAAGCAGGCATGCACCAGAAAACTCTGCACCCTGAGAGTGCTTTAAGTTACAATAATGATACGTCCTGAGTTCTGTGGTTATGAGCTAGGTACTGGAATGAACACTTAAAAGGCACCGTCTTAGTGAAGAACAGCAGCTATGAGATAGCATCACTATTCTCTTTATACAGGCAAATGCCCAAACCACCCAATCTACCTCCAGAATGTCCCTGACTCCTTCCTTTCCATTGCTCATGGTGCTGTCAAAGTATTCCCCAGGTACCATCACCCACAGCCCTGTTGAGAACACCCCAAAGTCATCTGCTCTTGGCAGAAAGAGCCACACACCCTCTTTTGTGGTTGCATTCTGCACTTCAGCCCCATGAGTTTTCTCATGTGCTGTGGAGAAGTCTCTCTCCCAGTTACCAAATGACTTGCCTTTAGAGTGTCCTCTGAGTGGGATGTCCCCTCTCATGTGATCTGTCCCCCATCTTCTGTAATCTGTGCTTCTCCTAGACCTCAGCTCAATTTTTGCTTCTTTCAGAGAACGTCTCCTGATTGCTTAGCATCAAACCCTACCTGCCCAGTAGGCTATCAATAAACACTAGTATAAGCATGACAAAACATTAAGGTTGTGTTCAAGGAAAACAAGAAACAGCTGTGGGATCTAACCTGTGCTGGCCTTCCCATACCTGGAATGGCTAGCCTTGACCTTATGGAGATGCTTATTTTCCTTTGCCCTCCCCTCAAGACCTGCCCTAGTTTTTGGAGCACACAGACTGCTTGCAGGAAAACAAATCTAAAAAGCTGCTCACCTAGGTTCCAGGAAGCCCCAGGACAGGGGTCTTTTCCACACGCAGAGAGCAGGTAGGAATCCTCATCTCCCAGCCCTCTGACACCCTTTCATAGTGGTTTCCCTGGTTCCTTTGTCCTGTTGTTTGGGTCCCTGCTTGGTTGCTCCTCCAGTGGGTCAGCTAGGGAACTGTGAAAGACAGTTGTGCCTTGTCTCTCTAGGACAAGTGCCTCTGAGTTTGGCAGGGTGTCAGATCAGCCCAGCACAGAGGGTCCATGCAGTTTGGAATGGGAGATCTTTCCTCAGTAGAGAAACTAAGCAGGTAGATGCTCTGGGGAGTTCGGATTCTTGAGGTAGCTCAGCTCGGTCTTGCAGCCTTTTATTGCTGGGGGTGTTCTGACAGAAGAAAGGGGCTCTTGTCATAGTTAGACTCCCCCTGGGAACATCAGGAAGCAGATTCCGTCTGGTTAAACTGGAATTCGGCCATATCAAGTGTTGCTGAAAAAACCAATGGGCCCTGGCTGGAGCTGGGAACCTTTGTGTGAATTCAGAGCTCACTGTTGTAGTGGAGTTTGTGTTCTGAAACTAGATCTGTGGTACTCAGTGGTCCCTTTACCTTTTAAAGACCCTCCTTGCCAGACTGAGTCCATCGCTGTTCTCCTGTATGGTTGATGTGATGAGGCTTGCTTCCTCCATGTCAACACATGCTGAATTTCTGCAGACTACTCTCTGGACCCTCAGGTTGACAAGGCTCACCTCTGAGGGGTGTATTCAGTTCCCCCAAATGACTGAGCAAGACATTTTCCTACTTCTGAGTCTATTTCCATGTGTACAAAAATGATTTAGTGGTGTTGCATATTCAATTTTGCATTATAAACACTGAGGACTGAACCAACAGGAAAGGTTGATATTATTTCTTCATTTAGCCAATGCCCTCTGCATCTATAGACCATGAATAACACATGGAGTATGGTATACTGAGTTTAAAGCATTGCTCTGTCACTAATGAGCTATGTGACTTCCTGACTATGAGAATTTGGTTTCTTCAATGTATTGGTAACCTGTTGTGTGTTTGAGCCCACCAAGAAGTTGGCTCTGGAAGCACTCCTTCCAGATGATCTGCCCACCACCACTCTGTGACACAGAATGGGAGAGAACAGCCCAAGAGTTAAAACACTGTGTACTTGAGAATTGCTGAAGGGTAAATGATTTCCTGAAGATGCTCCCATTGTTTATCGAGCGGTATGGAAGAGCCAACGGTGGGAAAGAGAAGCCAGTTCACCAACACAAGGCTTGCTCATTGACAAAACTCAGTGGAAACTCCAACCAACTGCCTCAAACACCCACGGTCAGTTTCTGCTAGATGTTGTGAGCCCTCAGTTTGCTATTTTTTGTTACTTTGCTTGGAAACCTCATCCAAATGGACTCATCCTGGACTCTATCAGCATCTCCAACTGACTGCCTCAATAGATGTCCATTTCTGCTAGGTGTTTTGAGTGTGAAAAATTTGGTGGTGTTTTTCTGCCTGTCTGCTATTTGTTCATTTATTTTGACTTGCTCTAAACTTAATAAACTCACTCATTCAAAACTAGATCATTCTCTGGACTCTATGGAATAGTGCCTAGAAAATGGTGCTGGTGCCATCTCTACCTGTCAAGGCTGATGTGAGGATTACATGAAATTATCCAAATAACACATTGGCTTTTGAGAGCCCAGCAGAAGGGAGCTATTATCATTAATTGGGGCAACCTCAAGAAAACCCATAGGCTGCTATGATGTGAGTGGGTCTGACGAATGCTCCTTATGAAACTCCTATCGCGGCTTAATAAGGATCAGGATAAACAATTAGGCCGAACAAATGTTTATTCAGGGAGAAATAACTCACAACATAGACAGGTGAACACCAACAGGTTCCTGCTTCCAAGAATTCCTCTGGATGTCCTCCTGTTCCCATGTAGCTAGCAAGAGAGCGCTCTCCAGCACCTCCTCCGACCTGGTTCCCCAGGTCACTTCCGCCTCTGGCTCCACCCCCAATGGATGTGGTCAATGCCACAGAAGGAGACAAAATGAAAATCCCACTACAAACTCCAGGCATACAAATCAGACCTGAAAAATCTTCCTCCATCTTTAGGTCTGAGACCTCTTGAGGCAGGGACTGGCCAGCTCTATTCTTCTCCCAGTGTTTCCAGATTCTGGACTTCCCTTTTGTGCAGGATAGTTTAAGTCAACTTGTCACAAGCTGGAGTCACTGGAAAGGAGGGAAGCTTAGTTGAGAAAATGCCACCACAATGTGACTGTAAGGCATTTTCTAATTGATGGGAGAGGACACAGCCCATTGTAGGTGGTGCCACCCCTAGGCTTGTGGTTCTGGGTTCTATAAGAAAGCAGGCTGAGCAAGCCATAAGGAACATGCCAGTAAGCAGCACTCCTCCATGGCTTCTGCATCAGCTTCTGCCTCCAGGTTCCAGCCCTGCTTGAGCTCTGTCCTGACTTCCTTCAGAGATGGACTATGATATGGAAGTATAAGCCAAATAAACCCTGCCCTCCTCAACTTACTTTTGGTCATGGTGTTTCATCATAGCAATAGTAACCCCCAATGAAGGCACCATGTTAGGTAGCTCTCCTCTAACATTGGCTGTTGCTGAGGATCTGTACTTTAAACTCACAGCAAATAGGCCAGGACTGTTTCAGCTAAGATGCTTTCATATTCTTTCTCCTTGAAAGATTTATTTTTATTTTATGTGAATAGATGTTGTATTTGCATGTATATTTATGTACCACATGCATGAAATGCCTGAGGTGGCCAGAAATGATCTTCTGGGAACTGGAATTCCAGATGAGTATGACCTGTTATGTGGGTACCAGGAATTGGACTCAGTTCCTCTAGAACAGCCAGTGCTCTTAGCTACTCATCTCTCCAGCCCCCCTTTTATGCTATCCTTTTTTGGGGGGTTGAGATAGGAGTTCTCTGTGTAACAGTCCTAGCTGTCCTGGAACTCACTTTGTAAGACCAGGCTGGCCTCAAACTCACTGAGATCCACCTGCTTCTGCCTCCTAAGTGCTGGGATTAAAGGTGTGTGCCACCACTACCCAGCCTTATGTTATTCTTATGATGGAAAAAAATTGCAGCTTTCAGAAACAAAAACTCAAGATTTGTTTTTTGTTCTTTTCACTAAAAGATGCAAGGGCCTCAGGCATGGCTGGACTTCAGCCCTGTTTTCTCCTGAGCTGCTGTGTGACCATGCAGGTGGCTCCTGTCTTAGTTGTAAGCAGTTCCTAGCTTACAATCTCTTCTTCCAGAAAGACTCTTTTACTCTTCAGCTGACAAAGAAACCTTTGAGAATGAA